AGACCGCACAACCCACCTAGACCAGCATGGAGCTCACACACCCCGGACCCCACAACCCACTGAAACCAGCGCGGCCTGAGGTGGGACTAAGCCTACCTGGGTCTGGTCTTGTTACCGCTGGGGTGAATTCACAGCCTGAGAGTACTCCTGCCTACCATGGACATGTTTGCTGGGGTACAGGACTGATCCACTGGTGCCGGAGAACACTGCTCGCCCAGGAGCCAGGTCTAAAGGCTGCGTAAGCGGGCACAGTCTTGGGGACAGCAACTGTAAGACCAGTGCTGGGTTCTGCTAGCCTGGGATTGGAATGGGTGATGGAGGCAGCCCCTCATCTGTTCAACAGCTGTCAGCCAGGCTGCCCCTGGCTCTCAGTTTGCAGGTGGCCAGGTCTCCAGGTTCTACGCCAGGCCCCCGAGGCTGGCAGTGACGCATGTGAAAACAAGCTACTGGACAGTGGGAAGCCAGGGAGACTCCTGCTGTCCCCAATGTGAAAGCTGACCTGTGGGCTTCATCAGGTGCTGCTTTGAAGGCTCTGGGCTTGGTCTGAACTCCAAGGCAAGGTCCTAAGCTCCTTCTGTCCTGTTCTGGAGTGGCTGCTGTCTTGCTGCGCTTCCTTCTGGCGGTGTGAGGGAGTGTGGCAGAGGTGGACCCCTGGCCACCAGTCTGCAGCTGTAGATGGTGGAGATGGGCCTGGGCGCCTGAGTGGCTCAGTTTAGTTGCAGTGATCCTGTGCTGAGGTTCTTTGTTGTGATGTTTCTTTATAGGCACCTCCTGTGGTCTTCTTGTCTGAGTTCCAGAGCTCTGGGGAAGGGCAATCGGTGCCTGAATAGTTGTTCAAAGTGGCGTCCCTGGGGGAGGAAGGTCATTTCCATCCTACTCTGCTTCCTTGGATGTAGCACTTCAAGGCTGCCTTTCTCAGTCGACAGGATTCCTGTAATCTTGAGTCCTGTTCAAGGGTGAGCTAGTACCTTTTTTTTTTTTACTATTCACCTATTGAAGGACATTTTTCTCTAGTTTTTTTCTTTTAGTTTTAACTAAAGAAAGTTGCTGTGAACATTCATTTAGACATTTTTTGCATTAATATGTGTTTTTAATTTTCTGGGATAAATGCCCTGAGTGCAATTCTGGGATAATTGACCAAGTGTGCTGTGACAAACAAAATATTGCTCCTGTTGAAAATGTACATGCCAAAAAAAAATGAAAAAACATCAAAAACATGTTGACCAATGACTAATGACTAATGCACACTGAAAATATCTTTCTAAAATGATGGGTGAAATGTAAGTATTTTCAGATAAATAAAAGTCAAGATAATTCACCACCAAAACAAAATGTACATGCCTTGGTGTGTAGTCCCTATGTCACTCTACATGGTGACGGAGCCCTTGTAAGTTTGAAGAAATTAAGACTCTCGAAAAGGGATGGGTCTCCTGCTTTATTACGTGGGCTCAAGTTGATCAAAACGGTCCTTCTGAGCATGAGACAAGAGGCTCAGTGGCTAAGACCAAGAGGAGATGGAGGGAGTTGTGAGCCAAGACAGGAAAGAAGACTCCAGAAGATGGAGAAGGCCAAGAGCTAACTCTGCAGGAGCTTTTCTAGGAGCATAAGTGTGCTCACCCCGTGGTGGGCACTCCGAAGCCATGAGTCTTACCTCCAGAATTTCAGGTAGTCAAAGTGTGTCACTTTAGTCGGTAAATCCATAGCTGCTTGTCATTAACACGAAACACATAACATTCCATGTGGTAAGTGATTTTCCAACTTTGGGAGAACCTGCCAGACTTTCCAAAAGTGAATATTTCTGTTTTCGAAAATCTTTCTCTTCTTTCTAGAGTCACCTCGGAGTCTAGTTTTGTAAAGTTTATTGTTACTACTTAATCACACATTTTTGAATGTCTTTTAGATGTCAGACTTGAGGAACAGTGAACAATGCAGCAAGACCATTGCTTTCACAGATATGAATTCTAAAGAGAAGAAAGATAGTAAACCAGTAATCACACAGAACAGGAAATCACACAGGCAGATCTAAATGATATCGAAACACAGCAGCAGCCTGAGGACTTGCTTTGGGTGGCAGAAGAAGGCTGTTTCAAAGACAGCAAATTTGAGTTGAGATTTGAATGACAAGAAGGATCCAACAGTGTGAAAATCTGATAAGGCGCCGTCCACATAGGGACAACCAGCAAGCAAATTACAGGCAGGTCAATGGGCAGAGCAGAACGCATGTGAGCAATGCTGTGCTTAGTCCTTGGAACTCATGTGGATAGCAGGCTGCCAGTGTAATGGTACTGGGAGCCAGTAGGTGCTTTCCTAGGCATTTGGGTCACAAAGTTCCACTGTCATGAAGGGACTGCTGCAATGTCCCTTCTCTCTTTACACGAATCAAACTCCCACCAGTCTTTCCTTCACGAGCTAAGTAGACGGTAGTGCTATGGCTTGAACTTCCCAGCACCTGGAGCCATGAGCTCTATAAAAATGTCCAGTCTCAGGAAGCAGGCAGAAGTGGACTAGGTATTGACTTTTTAGTAGATGAAATCAGTTATCTAGGCAAAGTGCAGATTGCTAAGCTTTTCATTATATAGAAGGAAGAGTATATTTCTCCATCATGTAATAGAAGCCACAGGAGAATGCCAACCAGGGAGAGGCAGGATCTGATTGAAGTTAAGAATTGGTTACTCTCCAAGGAACGGAGGGGCAGAGCCGGCAGGGGAATAAGGGAGGGGTTCTTTGCTGGACAGCTACTCCCGCAGGAGAGCATGGGCTGGGGTGGGACACACCAGATTAGGCAGGGCTACAACACCTGTACGCCTCATGTGGACTAGATCAGGGAAAAGCCGGGCTGGGCTGATTATTCCTACTGGTGCAAACAAAATTAGAGTGGGTGAGGGTTGTTTGGGCTTAGCCACAGCATCAGCTGGCAGAAGCTGGTACTGGGGGCTGGTTCTGTCAAGTCAAACCACAGAACTATCTGGAGAGTGCATAATCTGGGAGTGGGAGAGAACTGGGAGGGAAATAGTGGGCATAGAACTAGGACAGTGGCTGGGGTGGAATGGGGTGTGGGACAAACTGGGTTACTGCTACACATACTGGCAAACCAGGGTAGGGGGCGGGTCTGGTGGGGGTTGTTGTGGGTCGCTCCAACTAGGCTGCAGCTCTCACTGGTTTATGCAAGGGCCAAGTATGTGCTGGGCAGAACCAGGCTGGACTGCAACACCCATTGATTCCAGTGGAAGTCGGAAGTGAAAACAGAACCAACCCAGCAATTGCAACCACCAGCTGATCGGGGTGATGGACTGTGCCGGGCCCTGTACTTGCTAGCATATACAAGAATCTGGTTTGAGAACACCTCGGACAAAGTTTCTTTGGAGATCTCCCCAATCAAAATGCTGAACTCAGAACCCTAACCAAGAAAAGAGAGAAGACAGGACAGGTCAACCAACCATCTCAGCTATATCTTGGCAACGAAATATGGGGCAAACAGAGACTGTATGATGGACTATGTCAATCAGTGGATTCTTCAAGGACCTCATCGTGCTTGGAGTGGCAAGATGGGCAGTGATTCATAACTGTTGAAATATCAAATCCACTTGAACAAAAACCTCAGAGCATACCCTGCATCCGGGACCTGGGGAGGGTGGGAAATTGGGTGGGCCTTCTCCCTTAATACCCCCCTTTAAACATGAAGGAAACAATATGGAAAAAATAATAGTCTTACCCACTTTCCTGTAGCCCTTGAACCTTTTTACCCTAATTAACTATGTAAAGATTGTCAAAATATTAAAAAAAAAAAAAAAAAGAAAAAGAAGGAAAAAAAAAAAAAGAAATGGTTACTCCCACTGCCAAAGTGAGAATGGTTGCATTGAGTCAAGACCACTAAAGGGACTGTTTCGTTGACTTTGTAGTGGGGTGGAGACAGGTGCCGGATCTGTTAGATCTGTTAGCAGTAAAACGTCAACAATATTGCTGCTGATTTGGCTATGAGAGGGGAAGAAAGATTTTTTTGCTTATAAAACAGTGATGGTGGTGTCTCCAACTTTGGATAAGTATCATTGGAGGCACATGGTGCCAAGAAGATAGAGACATAAAATAGACAAGTAAAAGCATAGAAATCTGGATGGAGCAGTTGTCTAGTGAAAATTAGTGGTTGGTTCTGGAGAGAGAAATTTGGGGGTGATTAGTGTTTGAAATTCTCAGCTTAGATATGATTAACCTGGAGGGCACAGAGAAGAAAGGGATGAAGATATTTTAACTTATAGATCCCTGAGGAAGAGCTTGGAAGAATAAGAAATACCCCAAGTTACACTCTGTGTGGGTGGAGGAAGGCTTGAAGAGAGCAAGGGGGAAAAGTCCATGCAAGAAGCTATTGACATTGGGTTTGGGTGTTTCTTAGATGTCAAATAAGAAGCAGCTTAGAAGAATGGCTGAGGTTAAATTGCGCCGGTTAACTACAACGGGGGAGAGGAAACAGGACCGAAATGGTGATTAAAATGATGGGTAAGGGAAAGGAGAAAATCACATGGGAGACAAACAGTGGCAGAATGCGGTAGATGATCAGCAGTGTCGCAGTAGGCCCCGAGCAGCACCGCTTCCCCTTCAAACTTTGTTCTGTTCCCCTAGAACGGTCTGTCTTGTGCGTGTGCTTCCACACTAAGGAACAAAACAAGTTTCTTGCTGTCTTCTATAGCCCCAAGCACACGTGTTCCAATACAGTGTCAGAGGGAGCCCCATGTGAACAGTGTAAATCGGTGTCACCCAAGGCAGGGAGGTCGGCCTCACCCGAACAGACACGAGGACCCAAGACAATGATTTATTGTAGAGCTCTTGCTTCAGGGAAATCAGTGATACGACACAGGGCTACAGAAAGAGTCAAAATTTATTTTCAGAAAAGATTGTTTGATTTTAAATAGTATAAAAATAAACAGACATTTTTTCAAGGCATAATTTACATAAGTTAATTTAAATACACATGTATCTAAGCACTGAGCATTCAGACACACCACCTGAATCCCGAGGTTCAGCCAGCAGATGATAACATAGCAAGGGTTCCTTTCTTAATCCCGTCTCCCAATCAGTGAAGTTGGCCATTCTTATACATGTCTTTCTAATATTGACTATTTCTTTCTTAGGCACAAAACTTTATAAAAATAAAATCTTAATAAAGGATTTCCCGAGTTGCTTCTTTAATGAAATTAATTTGATTTCTTCCCTTTTCCTAAAAGATCTATTTCTCAGTTAACTTGCATAAATACTCTGTTATCTGTAATCACTGGTTGATTTAAAAACATCAAAACCCACCACACTTTATACAGAACATTTGATCAGTAAATGATGTTTGAAAAATCAATGAAGCATCCGCCCACAGGTCCTCTGAAAATGGATAAATGCTCAATGTTTTGTCATGTCTGGACTAACATGACAGCGTCCCTGTAGAGGCTGGGGAATGGGGAACTCAAAAAGACATAATTAACTCCAATCTGAAATATCTCAGTATTCCCTCCAATCGACCCACATTCTTAATCTAATCATCCTATTTTATTGCTTACCCAACAATTGAGAGGTAATCACAAAAAAGATATTGATTCTGACTTAATGAAAAAAATAAATGATTGTAAGCTTAAACACAGTTTGTAACAATTATGTCTCAATAAGACATAATTATCCTTACTAAGTTCAGTAATATACAGTACCATTAATTGTCAGCTGACAGCGAGATGTGAAGTACCGCTCTCATTGTCTCTGAGAGTGACAAAGAACCGTTTGGCTCTGTTTCTGGACAAGAAGCAGCCCTGGTTGAATAGTAATGTAATTTCCTCCTGTCCAGAACCCTTCAGTTCTTCTTTGTACCAGCGTCTTTGTAGGTTCCTTAGTTTCGGATAGTTTAAGTTCTTTATAAATAAAATCCTCTGCCTGCACTTAAGATAAGTGCATAGTTTTTATTTATATTTCTAAGAGTGTATATACTCCCTTTCATTCCTCTTAAGAGGAACTAAACAGTAGTCCTGAGCGTAAGGTTTCCTGAAAAATACACATTCCAAGTGAGAAAACACTGGCTAAATTTGTAGAAAGAATTGCCATCTTAAAACCAGGACAACAAAACATAAGAAATATGCCAATTAGCTGTAAGAAAAACAGTAGGAGGAGCAGTGTGCAGGTGGCCTGGCTTGGTTCAAATACACAGCTAATCAAGATTTAGTTGACAATAAATTCAGAACTAGACGTACGTGATTTTGAGGAAGCAGTTCTCCAGGCCACTGCCTAATCACACTGTGCAACAGAAAATGTGAGAAATTGATCATCCCCAAGCCAGCTCAGAAGTCCTGAGCCTCACAGGGAGCCTGTGGCACCCGGCCTGGACCACACAGGCTCTTTTACAAGTTCAAGCCTAAATTTCCAGTATTTTGGCTTTCTTCCTTTTGTATTGCTGATTGTTAATGTAGAATCTCTTGCTACTATAGAGTCTGTTTGTTACTAGGCACAAAAGCAAACTCCGGAATTTATGTAAAATATTCTTATTTTAAGACAGATCCTCAATGGTTCCACACCCTGAATACTTTTGGCATTTTTATTTGAAAGGAAGTTGTAACAGTCACATTAGAATTTTTACTCTTGGTGAAAAAAGCAGAATCTCTTATGCAACATTTTAACCAGCAGGTTGTAACAGAACTTTCACTGGTTTTACAGATTTCAATCAATGATGTGGGTGGCAGTTTAATGACTAGTGTACAAAATAAAATAAGTTTTTAAAAATGATTCTACTCTGTGATCTTAGAAATTTCAAATTATTGCTTCAAGGCAGACATGAAATTGTTGGAAATGTCTGATTTAGGAAATCCTCCCTCCCCCCAAAAAAGACCTGTATCTCTTTTTATTTGATGAAAGGGAAGATTTTCTAAAGTTCTTTTAAATCTAAGGATGTTCTTTCCTTCTAATGCATCGTGGAAGACGCTGAGATATGACAGACACTCCCACGGTGACATCAGTGTTCAGACACCCTTGATTTGCCCCTACTCTAGCTAATATAGATTTAAATTCAAGTAAAAAGGTGTCAAACATTCATTTCCCACTGGTTTACAAAAAAACAATGAAAACTTGCAGAAAATGCATCTTTAAGGTAGTGAGACAAATGTTTTCACAAGTATGAATTCTTTCTCTGCAACAAGTACTGCCTTCTGTCACAGAAGATGTTCGGTAACATGAGGATTTAACCATAAATATTATTAAATAATTAAGTTAAGAGAATTGATTCATAAATAAATAAATATGCTCAGTAGACTTTACAGTTCGGTGGATCGTTCCTTCAGGAGGACTGTGGGGTTGATGTCCTTGAGCCGGGAGTGGGAGGAGCTCGCGTTGATGGTGACCGCCTTGGTGAGCTGGGGGTCTGGAACATTGAATGACGTAAAGGGGCAGCCCTTCACATTGTTGCAGATGAGGCTCTGGATGGAGGCAGTGTTGACAATTTTGAAGCCCACTTCTCCACCAAACGTGCTTGGCTTCCAGTAGTTAGGGGAACAAATAGGATTACCCATGAGGCCTTTCAAGGAGAACGGAGCCCCCATTTCTACCATGGTCTCCCCAAAGATGGCATCTGGACGAGGTCTTTCCACCAGAAGGGCAGGGTACAGCTCCATTGCATCGATGTCGCCGTAGAGTGCTTCCAACTCCGCAGCCATCTCCTTCTCTCCTGGGAAGGGGAAGGGGACAGAGGACACAACAGTGTGAAACAGGACCCAACCACAGGAGTGTGACCCCTTCACTCAGTGTGCCTCCAAGGGCTCCAGATCTCCACTGGGTCCTGGATTCTGTTTCTTACCTGTAAGTTCCTCGAAGGACTCATAGGGCTTCAGATAGAAGCGCTTGCGGTACTCGTTGAAAGACTGGTATTTCATCTGTCTGCTTTGATCGATGGAGGCCTTTGCTACTTTCTGTACTGCAGGTGGAACGTTCCTCCCACCGGCAACCTGTGCAAAACACATTGAAGAACAAAATAAGACTCTGATGCATATGTGCTAGTCCTGTTTTCAACGTGTTCTCTAGGCATAGGCACAAATTAGGATAAACATGCTCCCAGCTGCGATCTACACAGCTTTATAGACTGGGAAGAAGCTTTCACATATTTCAACAGAGGCTTAGCTTAAAATTGAGCAAGACATTAGTCTAGAGCTGACTAGCCTTTTAAGATAAGCTTAAATTCAAGTCCATTTCTACAATCTATAAGAGCATATCATGTTTTTGAAAATATCTTTTAAGGCATGGACACACGTTATGTGTTGACAACCATGCAATGAAACACTGAAGTTCTACTTTCTTTTAAGTAGCCCTCTTGTTTCATGAAAATGATTTTACTAGCAAAGTAGCTATAAACACAGTTCTAGTTACCAACCAGTCCTGTTGCTGTGTTTTTCAGAAACAACACTCACCCTGCCAGCTATCTGCTTGGTGAATGACTGGACAAACTGCGTAAGTCCATGCTCCAGCAGGATGGAGTTGTTGTAGAGAAACTGTTGATAGTTGTACTTCTGGTCGTCAATCTGAAAGGCATCGGGCAGGAGTGGATGCCAGTGATAGAGTGTGTTGAACTCAGAGGCGATCCGGTTCTGGTACTGGAACTGCTGGCTGAAAAGCAGCTCCGGGTCGAACTTGAGTTTGAAGTGATAGCCACTCAAGTGCTGCACGTAGTCTTCAATCACAATCTTAATGGTCTCTCCTGTTTGCACAAAATCACGAATTAAAAAATATGAACTTCTGGTGACACCAATTTTTAAGCAACTGCAGGGAAATCTTGCTCATTATTCATTACTTCTATTTAATATTTTTCCTTATTGCTATCAAAAGGTAATTATATTAGCAGACAAGCTCACAGCTCTAGTTTATTATAGACAATGATTCTCACTCAGTATGCATTTCCTTGACACGCTTCAGAAGATGGCAAATGTAACCATCTGGCTTTCTCCGAGTCAGAGAGTTTTGTTTTAAGTGTTTGTCCTTTCCTGCTTACCTATCAGTATCAGCCTGCTTGTCTGGAATAACTGCTCGTCGTCCCATTCAGGATGCTCCTGCTTGAGCACATCGCACACTCTGTTATGCTCCCGTAACCAGATTGTGGCGTACATCATCAGACCAGGCACCAGACCAAACACTTCCTGGCCCACAGCGAAGCGCAGGTGCTCGGGGACGTGGGGCGGGTAGAACATCTCCACCTGCGTGTCTCTGACTGTGGGAGGATACACTTCGCCATGGATTACCTGAAAGGAAGCATTCGGGGCAGAGTTAGGAAACAATGCCACAGTAGGAAGGAAGCAGGCATTCCTAAGCCGTTCTCAGCAGCCACAGGGAGTATACCTGGTATTTCATTTTGCCGTCCTTGAAGAGGCGTAGCTTGTGCTGTCTGTCAAGGGTTTCACCATAAACATGGCTTAAGTCCACCTAGAAAATTGTGGAAAGTTTTAATTTGTTACTGTTGAGGCTGTTATTGTATAAACTATATATCATTAAAAAAACCTGATTTTTAAAGCATTTTATGGCCACAAAATACTACTTTGATTTATGCAAGATATGTCTCTAGTGCTTCAAGAAATTAGTAGCCAATATGGAGCCTGTAACCACACCATATGCTTTGGTCTGATCACACAGCATTTCTAAAAAAAAGAGAACTATCAGAAAATCTATTATTGACACAAAATAGCTCAGGTTATGCTGAGAAGTCTGAGTGACAATGTCACCACAGTCTCACCTTTTGACATACTCAAAGCAGCAGCATCATGGCACAACCATGTTTCTGTAATATCGCATTTTACAGTTCTAAACTTTTAGCCTAAAAATATGAGACCAATCGCAAATAACAGAAATCCTTGCAGCTAGGTGCTCGTGTGGGCATTTACCTACATGCATCCACACACATCCGTCTGTGTGTGTGCACTTTCTCTAAATCAGTGAACTGCACGCACACTCTGAAGCCCTGCATGGGTGTGCCGTTTGTTAAAAGAGGAGAGTTTAACGTGGCAGTACTTGGTTAAGATCTTCCGGGATTTTAGCGCAACTCTGTCTCACCCCGTGTCCCAGTCCTCTGGTGAAAGCTGGTCCCCGCTTCTGATCCGTCTTGAAAAACTGGTGCGTGAAGTGCTGGGCAAAGAAGGCAAACATCATGTTTGTGCCCTGGGGGTCAGGGATGAACTTTCTTCTCAGGAGAACTTTCTCCACAAGCTCTTTAGAGTCAGGAAGTTCCTTCTTCCCTGAAGAATGAGAAGGCAGTGTTAGAAACCAGCCCTGGGCTCCAGGAAGCAGGCCGCCACAGCTCCCCAGGACAGCCACCCTGCCTGCTGTGAGCAGGACCAGACGGGCCACCTCACGGGACCACTGCCCTTGGAGGTGCACTCATGCCGGCTTAATGAAGACATTGCAAGATCACACGAAGAAGCTCTTTGCACACACCCACACCTGAAGCTAACCTTGACAGTAACTAAGAAAGGGAAAAACACGACTGCTGTGAACAGACGGCTGTGGAGGGTGGGTTTTCCCAGTACAATCTGTAGCTTGTTCCTCACCTTTCACTCCCACGGGGGTCGGGCAGTCGTCAGCCACGGGCGGCAGGGCTCTTGTGTAGTACGACAGATTGGAGAAGGCTTCCCAGTTCTTGTAGCCGTAGTGCACGTTGTATGTGGGCGGACTGTCGATCAGATGTGATCTGGCTGAAAATTTCAAGGAGAAAATAATTGCACTATTTGTTCCCATGTGCAGAACCACTCATTGCTTGCTACCACTACAAAATACTCACAGCCTGACTAGAAGCCACCCAACTCCGACAGAGAGCTCCTTGAATTGAACGTCTGCCTTGCCTCAGACTGCATCTTCCTAAAGCGTCTGTGCGCGGGCTGTGCCGTGCTAGGCTGCCCAGTATTTGGTCACTGCCTGCTCACTCCTGGAGAGGCCCCAGGCAGGAATGGCTGACCCCGGCACTCACTTTGCAAGTAGAGAACGTTGTTTTCTGGCGGACTCAAGTCCAACTAACCACTTCTTGGAGTGAGTGGTGCTACATGTTCAGGACAGCTCAAAGATTGATGAGCCCTCAATAAACGCCTGGACCCTCCTCCCTTGTAAACTGGCTGGCGCAGTCGAGGTTAGGGGAGGGGTTCGGCTGGGCAAGCAGAATTCCGACTGGGAGATGGATCTGCAGTCACTGCGTGGGACTAGATACCTGTGTTGGGGCCACGGGGCTAGAAGGGAAGCTAGCAATCTATCTTTCAAGTCCTTCGATCAGGCTGGATCAGGCTTGTCTATAGTAAGGCACGTTTTTGTTTCTCTGCTAACACCCGTGGCAAGAGCCTGGCACTTACACGTCAGCACATATCTCATGATGGAATTCCGCAGGAAGGGGATGTTGTTGACGATGTTCCAGACCGCCTTGAAGTGGGTGAGGATGTAGTGCACCGTGTTGGGAGTGGGCTTCAGGAGCAGCTTGATTCTGGTCAGAAACTCAGCTGCAAGAAGAGGGGCAGAAAGGAGTGTGTGGTTGAGGGACGCCCTGTGGCACACACAGTGCCATGCCCGTGGCGTGCGGGCGGCTGACTTACGAGTCGAGCAGTTTTCTCCGTAGAATCCGGTCCTCGTGCAGTCACACTTGTACTGGTCAAATCCCATGGTCATACACACGCCTTGGTTTTGACATGGGTTGGAACAGCAAGGGTTGGCTGCAATGAAGTCAGGACAGAAGGCAAGTCATTTCCAGCGTCTCAGACTTGGTGAAACGCTGACGGCTCTAACTGTTGGCCAACTTTACAATTTACCCAGGAAATGTAAGCGCGAAGAAAAACATGGCTTTAACCCCAAAAGAGCAATTTCCACTGTAAATTAAAGTAACGGAATATTCAGACCTGAATATAAAATTTGTTGAGCTTTTTCTTGGTAAATTTTTAGATGTTAAAATCAGCGTTAAGACAAAGCAGTAGCACTTTAAAACAATTTTTTAAAGAATCTAATACATCAAAATGTAGGAAACATTTTCAGAAAGTACTTTAGAAGTCTATGTTTAATAATCCGGGCTTTCCTTGGGCAGAAAGGCATGGGATAAGGTACCAACAAGGCCCGTGCCAGCCGGCAGCGCGGGGGCAGCGCCCGAGACCAGCTCTGTGCTGAGGAGTCCGCAGCCTGCGGGACACCTGCGCCTCCGCAGCCACAGGGCCTGGCCCGGCTGAGGACCCGGTCCCGAGAGCTGCGTGCTCCGCGGGCTGTGCAGGCTCTCCGCTGGGCGCTGGTCTCCCGATGCACGAGCTCCCGGGGTGCGGACGGTGCGCGGCGCGGGACTCACCTGCGAGGCTGAGCGCCACGGCGGCGAAGAGCAGGAGGATGCGGGTGAGCATGCTGGCGGGCTTGGGCATCCGCGAGGCAGGAGGTGCTGAGGCGCAACAGACTCTCACCAAGCCAGTTGTTTGACAACTGCACGCTAACGGGGGAGGCCGCCTTTTATGCCGAACCCTCAGCCCACGTGACCAATGACGGTTCCTTTTTTTTTTTTTGCACCGCCCCAATCTCGCAATATTTTGTTTTTTCAATTGCGCAAGCGCTTTCGGGGGCAGGATTTTTAAAGTTATTTATTTATTTATTTATTTACTTATTTATTTATTCCCGCGCAACGAGAAAATCGGAAACCCTGCGAGCGGCCCCCGGCCACCCCAGGTGGGTGCGAGGGGGGGACCCCCGCCACCCCCGGCTTCCTGGCTCGGCTGGGGGCTGGGGGGCGGCGCGGTTCTGGGGGCCTCCCTGCCGCAGCTGAACCCGCGGTTGGACTCTGGCACGCGCCCGCGGCTACCGCGCTCCGGGCACACGGCGCGGTTCTGCGTGTGCCCCCCGCCCTGCCCGGGTCTGGGGGCTTCGTGCCCGGCTCGGCGGACCCCCGGCTCGCACAGCCACGGCGGCACGGGTCTCTGATACCCGGGAGCGCAGCCCGCTGCGCAGTTAATGGACCCAGGGCGAGATCCGGGAGTTTGCGCTTTCCTCGCCCTTTTGCTTTAAATATTTGTCTTTCATAGTGGTCAGAAAAGGGAAGGTGAGGGTGAGACACATTGTTTACAAAGCGGTCAGCGCTGAGTGGGGCACAGCAGCCACGCAGCCTGGCCGCCCCGCGGGGGTCCCGGAGCGCCGCCGTGGCTGTGCGCCCCGCTGCCGCCTCGGGCTGGCCCGTGCTGCGCGTGCTGTTCCCGCCCGAGTGGCCAAGGTGTGCGTGCTGGACCTCGCGCTCACAGTGACCGCCTCTGCATCGGGTCATCTCTGTTCACCTACTGATGTGCCCTGGGGCGGGGGCGTGTGTGTGTGAGTGTGTGTGTAGCCCGCCCTCGGGGGTGAGGAGAAAACCAAACCAAGCATGGAAAAATTCAGCTCCCATCTCCTAAGGGAAACCCGACTTGCCCACGTGGCCCTGGAAAAGTGACTTGGGTTGTCTGGAATTTGTGCACCAGGAGAGAGAAGTTCCAGATTCCATCAAGTCAGAAGAGAGGTGCGGGCCGCCTGGAGCGAGGTCCGGGGATGGACTTTGTGGGGCATTATTATACAGTTTATTAAGTAACTGACAACTCGGACAAAACAGGTGTATTGTGAGACGCTGGTTCCAAACCTAATCGGGATGAGTTATAAACATTGTGCTCAGTAGAAACACAAGGTTTTGATTCGGAAAGGATTATAGCTCTCCGGTGCGTTTCAGTGTTTGTGCGTATTTCAGGCCATCGTTTCTGTTCGGAGCTGTGAAGTGTGTGGGGAAGAGCGTGGATGATGGTAAGAGGAGAGGGATGGAGGAAAGTTCCCAGAGCATTTGGTTGAGTTTTACTGCCCCCTTCTGCTGCATGAGTTTTTAATCAACTTTTTCCCCCTAAATTCTGGCAAGATTGCTAGTCTAATATCGCAGTGTTCCTGATTATTTCCACATGGGGTCTTTGTCTAATACTTTTATGAATATATTGAAAAGGAATGAACTGTCTATTAACTGGAAATGTTACGTCATTCATATGGATTAAAAGAAATCAAGCGCTGAGGACTCTTACCTGCTCAGTTCCAAAGGAGCTGGTGCTGTGAAGGGCGCAGGCTGTGGCCTGGGGGGGGGGGGTCGGGGGCCCCTTTCCACGGCCTTCTCCTCCACCTGCTCCGCTCTGCGGCTCACCTAGGGGAGACTGCTGCCCTGCGGCTCAGGGTGGCTGGCTGTCCGGGGACAGAGGCACCTCGGATCTGTGGTCCTGGTCAGGCGACGTTCTGGCTGTCCCTGGAGTGGCAGTGTGGTTTGGAAAGGATCCCTGCGTCTGCCCTTTAGGCAACTCTGCTTACTTCTGGCTACTCAAAATAGACATTTTGAGGCTGTAATAACATTTAAAAATTTAATAATAGTTTCAACTATATAGTGAAGACAAACAGAAAGAATGAATGTGTTGGTCATTCCTCTGAGTTCATTCCTGGATGGCTCTTGCTCGCTTGTCTGCTCTCCCCCCAGCCCCTCACATTCTCCAGGATTTGGTCAGGATACTAAGTTGGACCCAAGTAGATTCAATACAGTCCTTGAGTCAGACCCCAGCATTTCCCCGGGTGTCAGGGAGCGTGGGAGGGTGGGGAACACACGGCCTTTCCTGGCAGAGCGGCTGGGCTTGGCCTGTTGGATTCCACAGGGAGGGAGCCACCCTGACAATACTTCAAAACCAGCACTCTTACTCCTTCAGACAGGTGAGGGAGCAAGGCAGACCGCTTTCCAAATACTGGGAAGACAAGTCCTGCTGGTTGCTCCCTGCAGCAGCAGCCCACTGCACAAGCCCCCACGGGGCCAGTGCATGAGCAGGAAAAACTGGGTTGGAATGAATGAGTTCCAGGAAGGTCAGGGAGGACACAGCTGGGAGTCAGAAACCGCAGTGGGCCCCCACACTTCCATGACCAGATTGCCTGAAGCTCCATCAGATTCTCGCAAGGGCAACCAGAAGAATCCCCTCGATATTCCAGCAGGGATAGAGGAAAGGAGTTAATTGCACTGGAACAGTCAGTTCTTAGCAAGGCGGGTTCCCAGGAGGAGAAACTGTTGTTTTTACCAGAACCTGGCTTGCTTGGGCTTTGTCACAGCCTGGCTGGACTGGAAGAGTGGAAATACCTGCGTCCAGCTGCCTGCTGGCCATCCGAAGTGCAGCCCCCTCCTGCCAGGCTGTCCCAGCTCTGTGGAGGCAAGGTGGGGGCCCAGAGGCTCTTAGGAGGCTCACAGAGAGATGAGACCAAGCTAGGAACCCCCAGGTCCACCTCCTCCCTCTCCCTCACCATCCATCACACTGCAGAAAAGCCCTTCGTTGGAATTCCTTTCACCCTGCTTCTTATGTCCAGATTGCAACATTAAAATAGAAGGCATACTAAAAAGCAAAGGGAAAAAAATCCAAAACATGATTTGAAGAGAGAGAGAACATGCAAACTTCAGAATCAGACTCAAATATGGTTGAGGTTTGGAATCTAAAGATGATGAATCTGAAAGCACTGTGAGACCGCTAATGGAAAAGGCCCCGGGCCGCTGGGGCAGCAGGTAGGAACGGTTGGGTCAGTTAAGTGGAGAAAAAGAAACTGCAGTTCTAGGAACAAAACCAAAAGCCTGCAGAGCAAAGGACTGTAACAGAAAAGATTCCATGGGCTCATTAGCAGATTAGAATCTCTGAGATTGCAAAAAGCTCAAAAAAAAAAAAGGTTCAAACTTGAGACAACATGAGAAAAATCACTGGAGAAGAACAGAACGAACATCCCGAGTGAAATGCCAGCATCCTGTCAATAACAACCATGTGATGGCAGGAAGAGCGGATGGAGGAGAGGGGCAAGGGGTGTGCATTTGAAATTACGTTGACTGAGGATCCCCCCAAATGATTCAAATTGCTATCAGACATCAAGTCACAGAGCCAGGAAGCTTAGAGAACACCACAGGAGTGAATGCTGAGAGAGTCCACGCCTAGGCGTGCCACGTCCCACCTGCACAAGGTCTAAGAAAAAAGTGCTGAAATAGACCACCTTTGCTCCTGAAGGCATGGATAAGAATCAGGGGGCTGGTGTTGTGCGCAGCATTCCTGCTCTCTCTCTCTCACACACACACACACACACACACACACACACACACACACATGCACACAGTGCATCCCATGTCAGGATGTCAGACTGAGTCCTGGCTTCCACATATTCCGGAAAAGCAGTTGACGTCCTGGGGCCCCGCTGCGCCCCGTCCCCACTGCTGTGGCCATTTGACGCAAGTAGCAGATGGAAGATTTTCTTTTTTGCTCTCTGCCTTTCTCTGTCCTCCTTGTCAGTTTGCATTTTAAATACATAAATCTTAAAAAAAAAAAAGTAGCTGTGTCTCAGAACTTGAGGAAGCCAGTTAATGTCCATGAAATACTGCGTGTTGAGAGCTCGTCAGGGTAAAATTCTGTACCTGGAAAAATTATCCTTCCAAAGTGAAAGAAAAATAAAACCTGCCCAAACACGGAGGAAATTTGTGGCCAGTAAAATGTGCCTAGCTAGAAATGTTAAAAGAAGTTGTCCAGAGAGAGATACTCAAGAAGTCAGAAGTCTGTGCTTTGTAAAGAAAGAAAGAGTATAAGAGAGTAAATAATTTAAGAAATTTTTTCTTATTAGTACATAACAAGTCCTTAAAATAATAGCAATAGTGTGTTCAAAGGGTGTGAGTTGTCTAGTGAGATGCAGGGCAGCGTGAGACAAAGCAGGCCTTGTGTTGTCTGAAACCGAATCACATGTGCAATATATGTGTAAGATACATTAAATCTGCATTTAGGGTTAGGGTTATCATATCTGTGCATTTAATGTGCATTCCAACCTTTGGGGAAGCCACTAAAAACAGGCCAGTATGTAGTCTTATCACCGCTAGCAACTCTATTTCCTTTTCTCTCATCTCAGTCTCTGTCCTTCAAATAAAGTGGAAAAAAATACCTACTTTATACCTTTCATAAAAATGAACTGAAAATAGCTCATTTTGAGTGAATGTGGAACATAAAACTGTGAGGGTCCTGTGTGATGACATAGGAGAAAATCTAGGTGACTTCGGGCGTAGACATGGAGTTTCAGCTGCATCACCAAGGGCGTGACCCATGAGGGAAATAATTGATAATCTTACCTGCAATAAAGTTAGAATCTTCCACTCTGCAAAAGATACTATCGAGAGAGTGAGAAGGTAAATCCTGAATTGGGAAAAAATATTTGCAAAATTAGAAAAAAATCAGGTAATGAGCTGTTACTCAAAATATACAAAATGCATTTAGAATTCAATGGTAATAAAAAACCGAGTTACAATAAGGATCAAAAGCTTGAACACACAAAGACCTAAAGATGCCAAGTGTCTACTGAAGTCCTTCACAATACACACCATCAGGGAGATGCAATTTAAAAATGAAATGCTACTCTCTC